GACCTGTCTCTGCTGCTGTGCATGAACTCCACTCACGAGCTGCGGGAGAAACATTTCCACGAGCTGTTGAAGGTGTATCACACATCGCTCAGGAAGACACTGGCGGCTCTGCTGGGGAAACCTGAAGGGGAACTTGATCCGCGTTACAACTTTGAGTCTTTTCTTGCTGATTTTAGGCGTCATGCTGTATATGGCTATATAATAACCATTGAATTTTTACCATGGATGTTTTCGGAGGGAGAGGAGTTCAAGGAATTTATGGAATTAAATATGACTGCAAAAGGATCTCCTAAATACAATGAACTAGCTTCAAGGCTTGGTGGCAAAAATGCGACAGAAGCATTGGTGACTCTGACCAAAGATCTGTTAGAATATCAGTGTTTGTGATTACACCTTTGTGATTTAAAGTGTGAAAGTGTTGAGGTTAATTGAAATGCGTTTTAGTTTTCAGATGTTTCTTATCACGCTTTCTTGGTATCTTTATTCATCAGGCAACTAAATATGGTTTATTCGTGGGTTAGGGATTCTGACGGTTCAGGTAAAGTCAACAGATTGTACTTCTCTCTCATATGTCTCACTGCTTGCTGCTTTTTGACGATTAATAAATAAAACCAATTTTGTGGGTATTTTTCTTTGAATGCTATTCATTTTAAATGTGTGATTTCAGTTTTAATTACCTTAATATCAGTATTTTTGGTGTTAATTTTCATTTAAATAACGTGACAACTACACTTAGCTATCATTAATATAACGAGCAATTGTCACAAAAACTCCTATGTGAATCAGGTTCGGTTAATCAGTTTTATGTATCAATGAAATATTTCAGTATAAAACTGTTTCTGATATTTGGATAATAATGAATATAATAGATTTTAAAATATTTAATTTTTCTTGATGAATCGATTCTTAACAAGAATCTTATTATAATACATTTCCTCAATGTTGTCCGGGAAGAAATCTGAATTAAAATTTTAAATTCAATTTATTTACAAACCTTTGTCAGAAATACTTGGTATTGCTTATATTTTTGTAACATTTTATTAACATTTAGTTTATGTCATAATGTCAATAATGTAATGAATATAAAATGCAGTTTTGAATTTCTGTTGAATTTGAAAAAAAAAATTGATTTGAATGTTTCTGTGGCAAAATGTTTATTATTATTATAGGGTGGACTTGGAATTACAAAATTTGTTTTTGGTGTCAATTATGTTTTGGGAAAGAAAATAAATAATGTTGATGAAGTTTTGGCTTCATTATACGTACAACCTCATGATAATAAGTCCTTATTAGAGTTAAACCACCCGTAGTGACCATTGTTAAATATATTTTTGTAGTTTTCTGAAAATGCTTGACCGAAAAACAGATAATTTTCATTTTATTGTGTATTTATTAATACATTTCTCTACCACAAATTGAAACCGGTAGTTGGAATTTTAAAATTGTAAACTTTTGATAAATGCAGATACTCTTCTTAGTAACGGGTACTCGATATTTCACTTCTTGAATTTGTTTGAATCACTTTAATCCCCAAAAATAACTACTTCGTGTTACATTCAATGTTTGATTGATTGGTTATAGATTCCGGGTGAATCAACGGATAAGTTCATTAGTCCCATAAGTATTGTGCATGTTTGTATAGTGGTAGAAGTTATGCTCCCGCTAGATGGTGAGATCCGCTGCCCACCTAACTGTCGGTTAGCGGGGTATTCCCTAACCTGGTATCTCCCTCCCCCCAGCCAGGACAAGCTCTAAGTTCCCGACCGGCCTCACGCCAGGTGTGGTAGTGTAGTGCTTAATTGTGTATGTCTAAGTAAGGAAAGTTTGCGCGCGGTCCAACGACGCGCGTTTGTTAGGGTTCCGGCATTCGTCTGGTACTATTTGAAGAAACCAGGAATTCCACCGATCAGAAAAGCCAACCGCTAGAATTCTCCTACAGACTGTGAATGAACTCGATCTAGCTATGTAATTGGTGTCGAAAAATCCTTCCAACGTCGGGTCATGGACCTAGGACCACCCGCTCGGAGGCACTGCAGGAACAATTGATGCGCTAAGATACATCTCCCATCATATTTAGTGTTTGCTGTTGTTCTTTAGGTCTTTCAGAATCGCTCAAACGCCATTTTCTCAAAAACGGCTCTCGTGTTTTTTCAAACTTCTCCAACAGGTTAATTGGCCTGTTTAAGATAACACAATTAATTTTGCTGTATTCATTTGTTTTATGAAAAATTACAAAAATGTAACTATTCGTAGGCTTTACCTACAAAACACCGGTGGTGGTGTCATTAAATCAAAGAGACCTTAGAAATCTCCAGGAGGCCTCCAAACCTCAACGGAGATGATGGGCTCCATCTTCGCAACACCTGGAGACGGGCCGTCGCTCCCCCCAATACAGCCCCCCCCCCGTGGTGACTCCCACCCGCGGACGGCCAATGACGTGACCGCTTATTTGCCCTTTTTCTTTTGGCATTTCCTCCGGTTCCCGACCACGCAGATTCATCTTGTGGATGTCAAACCTGTTCAGTCTTCTAAATATGGCATATAAACACGGTTATTTTAAGAAATGGTATTTCTTGTTTTTATGATTTTGTATTGTGCATGGAAATGTCGTCATATCAGGTATGAGAAATTGAGTATTGACATAATTAAATAATTCCATTTTTCAGTCAATATCGAAACTGTTTTATGTTTGTGCGATTTCCCCGATTATTTAACAAAACCAATGACACGTGTCAATATTCAAATATTACATAGTTTTCCGTCTATTTATTCGTGTAATCCAAAATCAGTAGTACGGTCTAGTAGCGTGCCGTAGTTGAAACACCTAACAAAACCACACAAAATGATTTTACATAAAGAAAGTACACACACTGCTGAAGAACAATTATTCTCGTATTTTATTGCAATAAATTAAATAAATTAACAAAAACCGCCTTCAAGAATACTGCAATAACATGCACTAGTATAACATTGAATATAAGATAGTAGTGTACCATTGAATGGTACTCACTAAGAATGCTTTTTGTAAGCCAAGAATATCCAATAAGAACAAGCTAAACAAAACAGCTGCTGTTCATTGTCGCAAGACGTGATTAGTAATTAATGAATGCCTCTCCCTTGGAATCTTGCTGTCGCATGACGTCATCTACATCGTGTACAATGACGCGCTAAGTACGATCATTCATTTGGTGCGAGCACATGTGTGAACAGGTGGAATCGCGGATTCAAATATTGGTGGTTTTCAGTCAAAACGGAAACTGCTTGATTCTTTTTTTAGTATTTTTCCAGTCTTGCTGGTTGAGAACGAAACTATCGACATCTCTGGCGCAAGGTCCAAGCCTGCTCAGTTTTCTATCAATTTATGCGTGCACTTCAAACATGGAAACCCGAACTGAAAATTAGTAGTATAGATTTCGCCGCTGCTGCAGGAGTCGAGTGAATGGACGATGCCTCAGATACGCTGGGCTGCCGCTAAGGCGCCGAGGGCGTAGCTCTGAGCGATTTAATTCTCCCCCCTCCCCTCCCTTCCCCTCCCCAAAGGCACCGCCCGCCACTCGCCCGCCGCCGCGGACCCTTTCGCAGTTTGGGAATTGTCCAGCGACAAACAAGCTGCCCATTGTAATTATGCCGCCCGCCTCCGGGTGTTCGCCCGCCCCGGCGCGCTGCAGCCCGCGCCGGCAACCACGCGAATCCACAGGACTATAATCCGGCTTCCATGTGCTTTGTCGTGGCTCGCAGCCTGTTGTGAAGAGATGCGGGCGTAATCCGTAATCCCAGTGAATGGCACCAGAGAGTCTGCCTCATCCAAAACCGAGCCGTTGCATATTTTGAACAGCTGGGTGTATCATTTCCATTTCTGTCAAGTGAACGTTAGGACACCACTGGAAGTTTATTAAATTAATTTGATATTGACTGTAGTAGTGGATACCCGACAAGTGTCTTTTAACTCTGCTGATTCGTTTCTTTTGTCAATTTGTGGTATTAATTGTAAGTGAAAGTGATTGACAGAAAGTTCATGAAAACTGTAAACATAGTCACATGTGAATTGACGGAAAATGGTTATAATGGTAGAATTTTGTGTACCAGCCAGGGTAGAAAATCCACTCATATTTCACATATAAATTCATTTTTTATAAAGCGATTTTACGTTTTCAAATGTCATTTATCTGAATTTTGTGCTTAGTCCCAAATAACTATAATAATAAAATTAATACGATACTAGTCTTAATCACAATAAGTTGTGTAAGGGAAAGCTTTGATTATAATTGTTGTGATTTCATCTTATTGCATTTGCTGAATGCGGAAAGATAACACGTTAATGAGACTCTGTCCTACGTCATTGCATAGACTGAGGAACATGGAACGGTACTCTATGTAGGTCACACATGGCTTCAATTCTGGTTCTCACTTTTTTATGCTGCAAGTAATGATCGGAGAAAAAAGTCAGTCAGTGAAGATAAGTTTTCCATGTCACTTCTCTTAATGCGTATAGTGGCATTGTATATGCATTATCTTTGTTTTGAATGATTTCAAAAAAGTTTAATCTTGAATATCAACATGAACAATATAATTATTTACCAGATATTCAATATAACATTTCGCTTTCAGAAGTAATTTTATAAAAAGGGTATTGCTAATCAGATAACAGGAAGTGCATTTTAATTTCTTGAATAATAGAGAAATATATTAAGAGGGCAATTCCAATAAAATAAAAGTATTTGCATTGATTGGAAAATCAATTTATTTGAACAATTTTATTTGCCATCTTTTACCAGCAGCCTTTATACGCTAATAATTGCAATTGTATTTGATATACTTTCTCTTGCATTTCATGATTAGGATTGTTTTACTTCTCGGACGATGATTTGTAAAAGACAAAAATAATAGGAATTCGTAGCACATTGGAACTGTTCTTCTTAATGTTATTACTCAAACATTACCCACAATTGTGCATTACATTATTTAAAGATCACATTACATTATTGAATAAAATTTTGCAGAAAATATCCAAGCCACAAGAATGAACACGGTTGAAACATCGCTTGGAAAGTTGAGACATTTTAAAGTTGGATCAACAAGGATGCACGCCAAAAATGAGGTATGTGCGAAGAGTTAGAAAATTTCTACATATTTATTATATGGAATCTAAAGAACACAAAAAATACTGATTATTTTTACTCGGTATTAAGGCTCGAGGCATAATGAAAATAAAAAGAGGGAGGATTAAACAATTCTGGAACAATACAATTACTAATTACTGCGCACAAAGAGTTGAACGTGTTTGTGAAAATGTAATGGAATCGACTTATTTTTGCCGTGATCTGTACACATAAGCTGCAGAGAACTACGGCATATAAACCTTTCTGTCCATACTAACTTAAAAACATAATTCATCACATAAGAGTAAAATTATTATCATATTATTTGTGAAAGAACATTTGTGGCAGACGATGATTGGCATGGCGTTTATATTGTGGCGTCGTGGTAGCGAAACGACAACACATTCACAAGTTCTATTTACAATCAGTTTATTTACAAGATTCACACAATTTACAGCTCTGGGGTTACGTTCGCAATCTACCTCCGCGACTCCCACGCACACTACTCCCTGTCCCTAAGGCTAGTGCTTTCCTCCATCCAGACGCTCTACCGCGCCGTGCCCTGGCACCAGTGCTACGCACTCGCCGTGTCCTAAGGAATACCCATCCGCCTTCCGGGCGAGCAGACGCGTCCTCACGCGGTGCACTCTAAATACGTACTCCTGCGGCATCTCCCGTAACTTATTTTGGCAGTCACGTGGTCGCCCCCAGCCTCTACGGCCAGGCGACGGCCAGCACATGCGCCCCCATGGCGGTCACTCTCCACTGCCTCTTCGCCCTGCGTCATGGGGGTGGGCACACGGCTTTCCTTCAACTGGCCCTATTATGCGCCGAGCTTTTGTTTCTAACATGTGGGAGTCAGCCTTTCAACGCCCGCTAGCATTTTGGGAGTGGAAATCTCGCGTGCTTTCAATGGATCTAATTCAACTCACAAAATGAAATAATGAACAGATGATACTAGATAAAGCTATAATAACTATTAATATTACGAGTTTATTAAAATGTATTGTATATACTGTAAAACCGGCTAATAATAGAAAGGGATAAAATCTCACAATAGCAATCTGGGGTTCACTTCCTTTCATTTACTGAAAAATTACTAAATTTGGTTTAGTAAAGCGCTCAAATTTCTTTCTAACTAAAATTTGTTTTTATTTTATATATAATGTTTTTCCATTTTCGTCATTTAACAGTAACTGTAACATACTTATAAATGTACCTTTCTTGTATTTGAGCAAAAAAATATAGAAACAAATTTCAGCAATTTTTCGAAAAATGTTGAAAGTGTGACAAAGGTTTCGGGTAAATCACTCCCAAAAATTAAAATATCGTAATATCTCCAGAACGGCCCAACTAGATTTTACTTCCTAGGCTATTTGGAAACTTGGTTACCCACCAAGTTTCAGTTTAAAAGCTTCTAATCTGTTAGTTATTCGTGAGATATCCATCCTATATATTACACCCCGATTTTTAGGCACAAAAGTGTGAATATTTCCTTTCCATCTGCATCAATTTTAACAATTTTTGAAACAGTGCAGTCATGTATGTGTAAGAGTTACAGCTCAAAATAATAAGTATGGCATTTACGACATATATAGATTAAATATAGTTTTGTTGTGATGTTGCAATTCACAGTAATAATATACTTATTTTTTGCGCATCCAAAGGTTTTCAGAAAACAATGCGATTTTCGTTATTAGTTTAAATGAAGAAAGAATTGTTACTTTTTAAAATATTTTTTTTACATTTTTTCATTAGAACTACAAGTAGTTTGGTTACAACTCTTCACGTCACATTTTTGTACGAACGGCACCTAACAACAATTTTGGTTCAGAAAGAGCTGAAGAGTATTACATAAAATCAAAAATAAAGGTTATATTTTCCATCTCAGAACAAACTTCTTTTTCAGTTTGGGCGCTGCGCCATTCAAAGGCGAACAGCATTTAAAACAGTGAGTTCGCCCCGAGCCACAGAGGCCGTGCTCGTGCGGAGCTGTCTGCCCGAGCAGCGCTCGCACGAAAGGTAATAATTAAGCGGAGGGCCTTAGTTATAAAGCCGGAAATAACGGCGCACGCCTGGTTATTTCCGGAGGTGCAAGGCGGAGTCGGAGCCCGTGCCTGGCTGCCGACCGCGGTCGCCGCCGCAGCTTCAGGCGCCCGCGCTGCATAATTGAAAGACGGTGCCTGGCACCAGGCGCTCCGCCCGCCCGCCAGCCCGCCCGTCTTCCCCAACCACACAAGCAACCCACACGCTCGCCCACCCACTCGCCTGCCCGTCCATCCATCCGTCCATGCACATGCACTCGGGCATCCTGTTCGTCTGCCCGCTCGTCTGCCCGCTCGTCGTCTGCCCGCTCGTCGTCTGCCCGCTCGTCGTCTGCCCGCTCGTCCGCCTTTCCGTCTATCCGTCTATCCGTCTATCCGTCTATCCGTCTATCCGTCTATCCGTCTATCCGTCTATCCGTCCATCCTTCCATACGCCCGCCCGCCTGTCTGGCCGACAGTGTCAGATTTCAGATTTAAAAAATTATGTGCCAGGTTCAGAATCTTTATTTTTCACTATAAAATAATTGGAGCCTCCAGACTTTTTTTTATTTAATTGTATATATTGCCATCTAAGTAAAAAAAAGTGTAAAAAACTGAAATATGAGATCATGTGATTTATTATATAATTTTTGTGTAAAATATGGTGTGAAAATTCTGAATATTTTGTTCATGCTCTTCTAAGCTTCTGGTAATACTCAGACATGTATTCTATATTGTACAGTGTGGCCACACTTAAGATTATCTTCACAATTGTATTTTTTTTATTGATTTTTGAGCATGAAAACTGAATAATGTTCTTCCACCTCATGAATTAATTCTCTTGCTGAAAATATGAGCCTTACATCTTTGATAATGGTTGGAACCTATTCAGTCATTTGTCTAATTTATAAGTTTTTCTTTGTATTTTATTTTGAATTTTGGGGGTGATTGTTGAAAATTAAATTACCAACTGATAATATAGTTTTGGTAATCAAATTACAAGCCTTGTGTGCTTTTTGGCTTGCTATGAGTGTTCAATAATCATTCCTAAATCATTATATACTTCAGATGTTTTTGTAACACTGACTATTTTCCTGTTTTACACTAAAATTGAATATTTTTCTGTACACTGTCAGATTGCCTGTAACTCAGCCGTTCATACCTAGAGAGCGGGGTTGTCGCTCCCATAATCGATTACTTTCTTTGTTCAATTGTCAATTTGTGAACCACGAAATCTCCTATAGACCGCGTTGGTAGCAGAATTATTCCGCTGTAGCGATTAGTAACAGCGGGAAGATATTTATGTACAGGATTTTTCTATATAAGCGAGCTCTCTGCTCGCTCCAGTGCTGAAACGCTGATGCATGCAGACATTCTTCTCATGTGGTGTTGCCCATGGCCCTCTGCCACGTTAAAGTATGTAAGGCGCGCCCTCGGACATTTTCCATGCTGTTTTCGCTGCCCGTGGCCTTCTGTCACGTAATATTGGATGTATATGAATTTAGGCTCTCTTGTAGCCCGTGGACATTTGCCACGTATTTTTTGACTGGTACTATTTGCTATTATGTTAAAGCGCTGCTTTGCGATGGTATATTTTTTGTGATGACATGTTTTTTGTTATGCGCTGAGATTTTGTCTTGTTTGCTCGCCCGTGGCCCTCAGCCACGTTAAACGGTATTTTTTTCATAGTGTAAGAGCATCACTTATGTATAAGCACATGTTTATGTTCTTGCCGTGTCTCACTGCCAAGTTAAAAATGGAAAAATTGGCTTAATCTACTAAATTTATTTTAATGATATATAGGAGACATTTTTAATTACGTAGTTATAAATTGTAATCTCCTATATTGGATTCGCTCATGCGTTCTACCTTTTTGTATTATTTATATATTTTCTTTGTGTTCCAGATTTGTGAGATATCCCGATTGAAAAGGGCTCTGTCTCGATATGTTTTCTCCATCGCTCTAATTTGAATTGCATTGTGTTTCAGAGCTTTGTCTAATTGTGATTTGCCGAGAGGCCGCAGACAGTTGCTTTACGAGTCTTAGGGCTGGCAAACATTGTACTGGAACAATTGGTGTTTCAGCACGCACGCTCGCATCTTTCGTAAACCGCCTCATGCAGCGTAGTCCAGATTTTCGCTCACTGCGCTTCTTCACGAGCGAAGCGACGCAAGGGACGTTGCGATACGAGAAATTTCTGGGACGAGTAAAAATTGGTAATGAGGTCGTGAGTGGCCCGTTTCATGAAACACTGCTGTCTGTGAGGTGAACGCAAAGGTGTATGGTGTAAAAGCGAAATCCAAGCAGCTAATTTGTGGTATCTTGGTATATGATAAATACTGTATAATTGTCTCCTAACAGATACAGAATTTGCGAGAACAAATGCTCATTGATTTATTGTTATTCAATTGTTATTGTATTAGTAAATTTGACTTATTTATGAAATTGTTTATTGAAATAATGCCAAATGACCGAGCAGTTTATCATATAATTATTTATAATTGTTTTTAGAAAGTTCATTGCGCGGCTCTGTCAATTTTGTATTTTGCGCGCCTAGCGTCGTAGCATTCTGTATTGATTATTGATAACTGAAGAGGTTAGAGTTCTTCCATAATTTGGAATATCTTCAATTTGTATTGTGCGATTCATTCGCAATTTTAATTCTGTGAAATTGTTAAATTTTGTAAGTCGGTGAGTAAAGCGTCCCGTTCCACCAACTTCCTCACTAGGATTTCGGTAGGAAATATTGTTGTATTATTTATTTATGGACATTAGGGTTCTAATTTTATATTATTGTACTGAAATTTGGTATGTACTTTTTTTGTCACTTCATGTACCTGTAACATTACTTTTTTATGTGTCCAATTCAGTCATTGTGCTGCTGAAATTGTTTATTGGATAATAAATTGAAATTGTGTATCGAAAGTTTGATAACATAATTTTTATCTCCAGTGGAAATTCTACCTTCGCAACTGACCCTTTGACCCGATACCTGTATCCTAATTTTTCGGTATCGTATTCTTCAGATACACACGTATTCTCCTAAAAAGTTCCTATGTTGGCTTGCGCTAAGGCTAATAGACGTACGCTGAGGTCATTTCTTTTACCTTATTAGGCTGGCGACCGTGAGATTTAATTATTTAAATTATGTTAAAGTATAAATTCGCCACTGTCCATCAGCCAGCCCGTCCAATTGACCACCCACCCGCATGTCCGTCTGCCAGCGCGACTTGCCGCCCTCTCACTCGCGGATCACCCACCTGTCTTATCATTCGGCCTTCTCACTCGCCCATACACCCCGCACACCACACCACGCACCCTCCCACCCGCCACCCGTGCAGCCCATCCGCCTGTCCGTTCTACCATTCCACCCTCCCGGCCGCCCTCTCTCCCACCCGCAGGCCGATCTCCTGATATGCCACCACGTATATACTCTGTACCACCCGACCTCAACCCGACGCTCAATTCGTCACTATTGGGCTCGCCTCTGTGTGTGAGAGAGTTTGTGGGTATGTGAGTGAGAGTGTATGTGTGTCTGAGAGTGAGTATGTGTGAGAGTGTGAGAGAGTGTGAGTGTGTGTGAGACTGTGAGTGTCTGTGAGACTGTAAGTGTGTGTGAGACTGTGAGTGTGAGTGTGTCTGTGTGAGTGTGTCTGTGTGTGTGAGTGTGTCTGTGTGTGTGAGTGTGTGAGTGTGTGAGTGTGAGTGTGAGTGTGTGTGAGTGTGAGTGTGTGTGAGTGTGTGTGAGTGTGTGTGTGAGTGAGTGGGTCTGAGAGTGCATGTATGTGAGTGTGTATATGTGTTTTATGTGTGAAGAGAGCACACGAGTGAGATATGAGTGCGTCGAAATTGGACACCTTTAGGATTTTTCTCGGTGAAGAACCTTGCACCGATTTAGACTTAATGTCACCTAGTAATATAATAAAACGAAAAAATAATTACGGGAGGAGATATCACTCAGTGGTCTTATCATTAAATTTACAATCAGGACCTAGTAATTTTTATAAATGCACATAGCTCTATTCTAGCAAACAAAGAAAAAAACTTTTAACTATTTTTTTTTCAAAAAAGTTAAAAGTCTTACGTTTGTGGAAATTATTACCAAAAATTAAAAGTTCGGTTTGGAATTTGCAGGACAGGGATCTATGTTTTTGGACAAATCCAGTGTACAGTTTAGGCATGTGTGTTGTTTGGAGACAGATGGATGGATGAACAAAGCCTATTGAAACTATTGCTGCTACCACAGAAAATATTTTCTCGTATTATTTGTAACAATTACGTAGTATTATAATACTAATTATCCTAATAACGAGTTTTCCACCTGCAATAGTATTTTCCCGGACTAAGATTCAAATACAATTCGATGTTCCCTGATCAGATGCGTCATCCGCTCAAACAGCAATCATTTGAACGTATACGAATACCCTCGACACATCAAAAAGCAGTTACACCCTTTCAATTTTCTAAATTGCAAGTAATTTATTAAAATTTTAACATTTTCATATAATTAAGCACACTGCATGAATTTATTTAAATTTGCAACCGTTTTTATGTGAATTTTGTTTGCGTACGCGTTTGGTAACCTTTGTCTCAAACTTGCTCGAAAAATTATTATATTTTCAAACATTTGGACATAAAAACATTTGAAAATGAAATTTGGAATACATATTTTAACAAGAAATCTCTCTCTACAATAATGTACTTTCTAAAGCAAGTAAGAGGCAAGGTGCGAAAGAAATGTTTATATACATGACGAAAGAAAATGTAATCTTACTATAACTAAATTGAGAAGCAAACATTAAAAATGTAATAGGTCCACTTCCCTCTTTTCTAATTAAAATGAAAAATATAGCAACAATTTTACGCTTTTCATCACTATCTTTAAGTCCATGAATTGAGTCAACGACTTGATGTATTGTAAGGCCACATTTTTCTGGAAATAAAATTATAGGTAAAAGCAACAAAATAACTCTCTTTCTACCAGATGAACATATCACCTTTTGAATATTTGCTCCTCATTTATTCTCTAAAACACAATATATCTTAATTGCCGGTTAGGTGTTTTTGGCCTTTGCAATTTACATAGAACAACCTTGAGTCTGTTAACGCCTAATTCCCAACGATTTTTAGTACCAGAATACGAGTACTCTTCGTTTACACGGTGACTCACTTGTGAATATCACCATTCTTCAGCAAGCGGCGAGATGCATTATATCAACATTAGCTGTATGATGTCCGGTGTGTGCCGTTGGAAATGTTTTGATTAACCTTACACTCTCAAAATTAGCCACATGTAGATCTTAAGTCGCTAAAATTACATTTAATTCACACTTACCTTGCGGTGTGTCTGGCTTCAGACAACGGGAAGCCGATAGTTTTTCTTAACAATTAAGCTCTAGATATTCTATGGAAAGGTGAAAATTCTGATGGGACATCACAATACTTAATTCACTTCATTTCATCATGAAATTCGATGTCTTTCTAACGAAAGACCGCGACTGTTTTGAAAGAAAAAGTAACACCTCATTCATCTATCAATACTGACAGAAACCTGAACAAACAAACCTTGTATTTATGAATCACCCAAAGCTAGCATGTGACAATGTTGGCAATTAAGTTAGTCACGCCATTAACTTTGATGCTATCATTCTGAAGGCAACTAAACGAGATTAAATCTTCAAACTACCACAATGTTTTGTCCATTACATGCACCAATTCGATTCACTTATGAATGACAAATCGTATGTGATACACCAATGAAATTTTTGATGATATATGATATTTATTTCATCTAAAGCTGAAAAGTATTTAAGGAGTTCAGTACATCAATGTGCACACAGTGAATTTCTCCCCATTGTCACATACATAATTTAACTATTTTTGACGTTATATCAATGAATAAAGTGAATGAGAAATAGTCTTATTTTTCACTAATATAAAATGTGTATTTAAAAATTATAATTTTTTTCTCCCTGAATACTTACAAAATCTTTTTTAAAAGAAACAGGTTATAGTGTAACGAATAAGAACAGGTCATTGTAATATTAGTCACTAGAATCTTTTAACCAGAGATTCACTTCCCACCTGTGTGCTCTGCAATACCTTTCTCTACATCCATAATTTGTTATACCATTATACTCTATTTCAGCAAGCACTATAGATGAGAAAGATCAGTAACTCATCCTAACATCACGGTATTTCCAAAAATAGTATTACAATACTGACAATCAAGTAATATTCAAAATGGAATTTAACCCTACGAAATGTATTTCGAAACTGTATATTTCAAATTCTGTGTTTACAATGTATGTTCATATACTGTTATGTATAATTTCTCTGTACTATATTGTTTAAGCACTGTTTCTATAACGGATGAAAATGTTATGTAAGAGAGATTTTGCACGTCGACGCTTAAAGCTAAACGCACCCGGATAATGTCACGAGACGCCTGGAAAACCAATCACGGTCCTGTACCAAAAATAAGCGTTAACCGGCCTCGGTTCAGTGAGCAAGGCTTCATAATCGATAGCCGATTACACTTGTTTTATATTCTTAGTACACTAAGACTACGCGGACAAAGGCCTTCTGCGGTTTTCTGCAAAACATGATGCTTGCCATTGAAGGAATTGTTGACTTTCACGAGGATGGAAGTCAGTGAGAAGGAATATTGGAATTCTTGTGGTGTTACAAACGGGGAAGCTCTTCAAGAAGTGATTCAATGTTCCAAATGTTGTACATTATAATTACAGTTCGATTTGGTTCTAAAATTTCACGCAGAATTGAGATTTATACATCATCCTTTATATCTACTTATCAATTTTCCCAAGTACACATGCTTTAATTAGTTCTTTCGAAGCAGGGAATAACACATCTGGAGAGTAAAAACAAGTGAAAGTCCAATCGCTTCTTGGTGTTATTTTCCAGAAAACAAATAATTATTACGTAAATAATCGAAGAACTAAATTAAAACCATAGTATTTGAAATGGAAAAATCGAATCGGTAAGTGCCATTGAAAACCAACTACAAATCTGTATTTTAGTTGGTTTGGCGCCAAACTTATGTGTAACATAATAGTGTTCCACCAGATTTCCAGTGTGTACTTTGGGCAAAAAACTCTTGAGCATCACACAAGATTCGTCGTTACGTTAATTATTACCCTTAACGTTAGCCATTTCGGTTAACTTCAAATATATGTCTTTGTATGTAGTCGCTAAATTTATTTTAAGTCGATGTCACTTAAAATAAATTTATAAAAAATGTGTATTTTGCTTAAGCAGAAAATCTTGCAAGAGAAGAGCATACTTATTTATTTTTTAATTTTATATCGTACCTCATAAATATCTATTCCATTCTTCGATTAAGGCTAAATGCACCGAAAAATACTTGTAGGAAAATTCAATAGATCGCAGCACTATCACAGGGGAATTTACTTTACTGATAACGTCTGAAGCAATAGACCGATTTTCGATCTATAAACGGCATTTGACGCCTTTTTAATATAGAATTTACGCTACGAAGCCCTTTGTCCCAGAATCTAGCAAAAAGTCGAATTTGAAATTAGTTCTCGAACTTCCAAGAAAAATTAAAAAATGTGAACTTATAGCGCGATGGCGACATGCTTCCTGAATCCAACGCCAAGACAATCATGCAAATCGGACGAATAGGAGCGTCTTAAAGTGAAATTTAGGAAAACACCTCGCCCCACCTTCCCCTTCTGCGCTGTTGCGTCACCCACCCGATTGTTGTGGGCCCTCTGCCGGCGCCGCGGCATGGCCAGGCCAGGCAGCGTGCGGCCAGCCCCGGCAGAGCAGGCGGGACTTAGATAGATAGATTTATTATTTCTGCAAGTAGGTATAGAACCTGGTGGCAGAACACTACATTTTACTACAACTAAGAATTAATACATAACTTTTTAAAGCTTTAA